AAGGTATATTTTGTTTCCTGTTTTTTTATTTGTTTGTTTGTTTTAAACTGGGGATTGAACCCAGAGCCTTTGCATCAATCTATATCCTCTTAATTTTTTTTTTTTTTTTTGAGACAAATCTCTCTAAATTACTAAGTTCCCCAAGCTAAGCCTTAACCTGCAGTCCTCGGCCTCAGCTTCCAGAAGTGCACCACTGCACCTAGCGGTCCTCCCCAGTGTCCACGGACAGACCTTCCCAGGTGACACCGCCTCCTGAGATCCACCTCTCACTGCTCAAAAGGACCTTGCTGAGACTCAACCTGCTGTGTTTTCTAAGTCGGCCTTGCTCCAACAGAGCCTGCAAGAGCCTGCACACTGCACCATTTCTACAGGGCTGTAGAACAGGAAGAAGTTGGGAGGATGTCGCTGCGGCCACCTCCGCTGCTGCTGCTAGTGACCTTCATTGAAAGCCTTTCTTGGAGGATCTAAGGAAGGTGAGGACGCTGTAGTGTATATTTGAAAAATACTATTCAAGGATTGCAATTTGCATATCTGTTACCAGCAGTGTCACTGCTGTGGTCAGAAAGCGTTGGACACAGCTGAGGGCTTTGCTGCAGAGAAGGCGCAGGGAGGCGATAGACTCAGTCTGTGTCCAGAATGGAGAGGATTAAGGAGATGAGCCCCACCCCTCTTCGACCAAGGATGACTTGTTTTCCAAGTAGCAATGCCCATTCTCATTCTCATTCTCATTCTCATTCACCCTGGCCCTGTCCCTAACCCTCTCCCTGTCCTTCTTCCAGTCCTCCCTCTCCGTCCCTGTCCCTCTCCTTGTCCCTGTTCCTGTCCTCCCTATCCCTATCCTTGTCCCTGTCCCTCTCTCTTTCCCTCTCCTTCTCCTTGCTGTTTCCCTCTCCCTCTACCTCTCCATCCCTCTCCTTGTCCCTGTCCCTCTCCTTCTCCTTGTTCTTGTCTTTCTCCCTATCTGTCTCTTTGTCCCTCTCCTTGTCCCTCTCCTTGTCCCTCTTCCTATCCTTGTCCTCTCCTTGTCCCCCTTCCTGTCCCTGTCCCTCTCCTTGTCCTTCTCCCTGTCCCTGTCCTCTCCTTGTCCCTCTCCTTCTTCCTGTCCCTGTCCCTCTCCCTGTCCTTCTCCCTGTCCCTCTCCCTCTCCGTCCCCTTCTCCCTCTCCTCTCCTAGCAGGCATTCCACCACTGAGCTCCACCTCAGGCCCCATCCCTTCTGAAACGGAGCACGAAGTGCTATCTGGTGCCACCTTCCAGATCTCAGGCCCTGAAGCCTGTGGTCACGGCTACCTTAGCTGGATCAGACCTCCAGTTCATGTGAAGAACTTCTGAGGCCTGTGATTTATCTTACAGGCAAAGAAACTTGAAAATAAAATTTTTATTTCCTCAAATAATAAGATCATGTGTTCAAGAAGCACATGACTCGTGGTAAAAGCAAGCCCTTTTTGATGTATTTATTATGATAGTTCACAGAGAGCATGTGATTTCATCTTCTAGGATCACCTGTGAGAACCAAGCCCAAGGGTGACACTGACTAACACACTCCTGGAACACAAGTGGGGAAAACACCCCTCCAAAGTGGTCTTCAAAGGAGCATCATGTTTTCTTTCATTTTATTTATTTATTTATTTATTTATTTATTTATTTATTTATTTATCCAGGCTCTCACTTTATAGTTCAAAGCTGGCCTCCAACTCACTATATAGCCCAGGCTGGCCTCAAACTCTTGGCTGGCCTCAGCTTCTCGAGTGCTGGCATTATAGGCGTGCACCACCACACCCAGTTTCCATTGCTTTCTTTAAACTCAACTGAGATACAGTTGCTGGAAGAACCGCCATGTTTAATAACTAAGGACCCGCCAATCGATCTATGCAATGAAACACTTTTGCCAGCACATATTCCTACAACTACAGAAGCATTTTCCTCTAGAAAATAAACAATAGCAAAGAAAAACAGTTACAGAGACCTTTTTTGTAACAATATTTAATTTCCATTTAATTTCCATAGTACTGTAGGTAATTAAGTACAGTAGAACCTTGAGTTACAACAAGGAGGACAGATGAACAGCTTGGGTCATGACTAGACTTTTAGTTTTAACTTATGACCAAAGTTTTAAAGAGTTCTGGAAGGATCATTACAACAACCTTTCGTGTGTGGGGTTAATTGAGAAATCCTGAGCCAATGTCTCTCTAAGGACGCTGAGATCTGAGTGTAGGGAGGAGAGAGACTTTGAAGGTTGTGTAGAGGAGCCTGAGCCTTCAATTGACAGCCTGAGCTAGTGCCAGCCCTCAGGAATGAATTGAATAAGTAAATCCAGGGTCCACTGTACTGTACTTGACACCAACAGAAATACCAGCTCTCCCTAGGACAGATAAGTAGAAAAAAAGTAGAGATTTGAGGGACTTAAATAAAACGAGGTAAGACAAAGCACACTCAGGCAATTCTTTAGGACTGAGATTAATTTGGGGATAGCAAGTATGAGAAAGACTACAGAAAAGCAAAGATTTCTGGGAGTTTCTTTGGATGATATATTCCTCTTCATCTTTTCTGCTCAGCTCCTAGTAAAGCAGCTCTCAGGCACCTGCGCCTTCAGACACTTGGACCTGAAGGTAAATCTTGTTTTCTTTGGGTTTCACTTTCCTGTAGCAACCAGGAATAAACAGAGTTGATACCAATCAATACGCAGTCGACACTCTGAAAAGCTGTTGCAAATTTGTATGCAGAAGTATCCCAAACCAGAGAGCAAAGATAGCAAAAAGCAAGGAAAAACGGGGTGGGGAGACAGGGCAAGCAATGCACCAAAGGGTGGCCCATGTGCCACACCTGGGTCACAGCCCATTCTCTTGTATAAACCATGAGACAGTTTTAAAATTTTTAAATAGTTAAAAAATACACACACACACACACACACACACACACACACACACACACACCATGGCATTTTGAAAATGAAATCAAACTTCAAACATAAATACAATTTGACTAGAGTTAATACACGCCTATCCACTTATTGGCTTGGCTACTTCCTGCAGCAGAGGCAGAACTGTGGTGGCAACAGGGCCCATCAAGCCCCGGGGCCAGAAAGATTTACTCAGGTTTGCAGCCCCATGAGGCAGAGCACATGTCCAGTTGCTATCTAACTCAGGAACTTTCTAGTCGACATTTTATTTTGAATCTGGGAACTTTCAGGAGACCTGTCATTGTCTCCTTCATCTGTAAGAATGGCTATAATAGCAATAGTAGCTGCTACATGGTGTTTTGAGAGGCTGAGGCGAGAAGAAGCAGGTTGCTTGCAGTGAGGAAGCACAGAGTGGTTCTCCACAAAGGCCGGCCATCGTCCACAAGTATCCCGTTCCCATGGTAACCCACCGCCATGCTATCCCATTGTCCCATTTCCCCAATGTTTCCTCAAAAAGTAGGGAAGAGCGAACAATGGAAATTATCTCTGTAGCCATGGGCTGCGTGCTACCTAAGGAATTTCACAAGGTGTGATCCAAATAGACAACAAAGGTTTCAATTTTAAGTTTATAACAGTAAGACATCTTACAATTCATCCCCCTCAAAACACTCGCCTTCACTTCAACCCTACTTATCCCTTCATTCTTGCCACTTTCTGATACAGTTCTGGACTTGTCCTTTCCTTTCATGAGCATCTTTACAAACTAGAATCAAAAATACAGTAAATACTGCTGCTGAACGCTATATAAAGGAGGGCAGGCTCTGAAAAGCATTAGAGTATGTTCTCATCCTCCCTGTTCACCAGATCCAGCACTGCGTGACTTCCAGCTCTTTCCCAAAGCCAAAGTGACCACAAGAGAGTACACAGGACACTGAGGAAGCCACAACAGTGCAACTAAGGACATTCATGGAACAGGACTTCCAGAACTGCTTTGGGCAGCGGCAAGAATGATTGTGTGTGTCTGAAATGAGGGAAAGTATTTTGAGGGGGATTCATGGCAATGCATTTTTTATTGCAAAAATAACTTTTTGGGGGGTGGGGGATGACAGGGTCTCACTACGGAGTTCAGGCTGGTCTTGACACTATGTAGTCCTCCTGCCTCAGCCTCCCAAGTGCTGGGAATATAAATGTGTGCCACCCCTCTGCCTTGTACTAACTTTTTCAAACTTAAACATGCACTGTATTTTTATCACACCTGTGGTGGTGAAGACAGTGAAGAATTGGTCATAATAGAGTATGAAGAGCCCTGTTGGGAATAGAGAATTATGGGGTCTCGGGTTCAGAGCAGGAGCACCTCGCCTCCCAGCCAGGGCAGGGATGGCTGTAAAGTAACCACTGGAGTTCGTGGAATTCTCAAAACAGCCTTCTAAATTAAATGTTACTGTGGCTACATTACAGAGAAGGAAATTAAGTCCATGAAGGATCCATCACTTCCCCGAATCACATGGCCGTGCCTGGATGTAAACCTAGGTCTCCATGACTATGAAAGCCAGGCTGTCCAGGCACAAGGACACAGACATGGGAGGTGTGGGATCCCTAGGACTGCCCCTCCCTAGGACAGGCACTTTGTAGAGCCTGAAAGTCCATTCAAGCACACTTACTGTCATGGGGGATGATGACTTAAGCCCTTGTCCCTTGTGGAGAAAGTCACTAACTAATCTAAACCACCATTACTAATAGGTCAGGAGGTGGGTTTAAAAATGCTGTCAACTCATAGTTTTTAACCCTCAGGGTCTAATGCAATCGATTCTCTGCAGTGCTGTTTGGAGCAGGCTGCGTGGTTCCTACTGTCTTCTTCCTTCCTGTACAGTCAAGGGCTACTGAATTTCATTTCTATCCACAGCTGCTCTGGCAGTAAAGCCAAGCTATACAAATACCGATAATGTTCTCCTCAACCTTTAAGTTGGGGAATGGCGAGTGTGTGGTGTCACTGGGGTCCCTCCCAGGGGACCTGTCTACCCCAGCCAGCGCCCAGGACTTCACCTCCGGAGGTTCTCAGCATCCTCAATGGTCTCAGGCAGAGCGACCCCCTTGGTCTCTGGAAGGAGCAGTGTCATTCCTCCAGCAGTCAGGCCCAGCACACCTTCAAATGAAACAGGTTGTACGTAGAGGCATCAGGCCAGAGCCAGGACCACGCACCAGCATGACCTCAGTGAGCCAGAGACACGTCCAGATAGCGCGTGGAGGAGGCTTTGAAGTTCTCAGGAACACTGAGGCACAACATGAAAGCAATGAGACCGCTGGGGAGATGCCAGCATAAGGAAACATAGCTTTCATTGTACATTTACTCGTGCTTAAGAATTAGGGGACATAAGCTGGGCCTGGTGGTGCACACCCATGATCCCTGCACTTCGGGAGGCTGAGGCAAGAAAATCACAAGTTTGAGCTCAGCTGTGCAATTTGACAACATATTAAGATCCTGTCTCAAAATAAAAATAAGAAAAGAGCCAGGAAATGTAGCTCAAAGCAAAGGCTCTGGGTTCAACCCCCAATATTCCCCTAAAAAAAGAAGTTAATTAAGGTACCTTAAGAACAACATAAAACAAAAATTGGACTAGTTGTGATAGATAGATATTGATGTAGACACACAGATAAATACGGAGCACAGGGTCCAATATCTATGGGCACTGAGGACCACCCTTATTTCACTGTGGCCTCCCACAGTGAAATCTTTCTCTTGCTGTTCTCCCCCAACCTCTTCGCTCTCTCTCCCCCACCTCCCCTCCTTTTTTTCTCTGCTTCCCTCTTCCTCCCGCCCCTTTCTTTCCTGAGCATTCATCTGTGGCAGGTTCCTACCCAGAGCCAGCTGTTTACCCTCTACCAAATGGGAAAGCTGTCTAGGTGTAGGCCTAGTAGCCCCCTTCTTTTTCACGAGCTTTGACAGAAATAAAGCTGATCTGGAAGTTGATTCTACACTTTTATCCTAAGTCTGTTCTTAATATTTAAGATTCAGAAGCAGAAGAAGGGTGATGATTCAGCATTCTCCTACCTCCAGCAGTTATACGCTAGATGGACAAGAGTTAGCAATCAAATACATGTGAAAACTCTCTGCTCAAACATTTGTCCCACTCTGTCCTGCAGGGGAAGTCCTGGATTCTGAAGCCAGAGGATGTAAATTTCTACTTCTGAGGAGTGGTGCCTGTCTTCCCCAAGAAGCAAGACAGACTGAGCCAACAGACAGAAGAAGCACGCTCCTTCCTCAGACTCACTCAGCAATGGCCGTAGAGTCACCACACCATCCCTACCATCAGGCTGGAAAGAAGACATGGTAAACTTTCTTGAAGTCTTACCAAACAAAATGAGGGGCAAGGATTTCCAAACCTCCATCAGCCGGTAGACCAGGAAGGGTGTGAAGATCCCACCCAAGTCACACAAGGCAGAACACACCATCACTCCAAGGCTCCTAATAAAATACAGGGAGCCAAAAGTTACATTCTACAATTCAATTTCTTAACATTTGAGCGACAGGGGCTGGGGAAATGGCTCAGTGGAATAAGCGCTTCTCTGACAAGTACAAGGGCCTGAGTTCAATCCCCAGTTCCGAAAAAAAAATTGATGTGTATTATTTTATTCACTGCTTGCTGTACATAATGCTTACATTCCTCGTGTGCAGTTAGTACATAATACATCCTAGTTTCTTTTATCATCCTATTTCTTTACCCCTCTTGTGTGTCTGATTCTTTCAATTAAAATAATGGTCTCAAGGTACAACCATTTTCCTACCAATTACACAAGTCTGTCTGTCTTTCTTTCTTCCTTTCTTCCTTCTGTCCTTCCTTCCTTCCTTCCTTTCTCTCTTTCTTTCTTCCTTCAGGGGAGTTGAAACAGGTCCTAGTTCAGCCTGGCTCAGGCTATGTCGCTGAGGCTAGCCTTGAACTTGTAGTGATCCTTCTGTCTCAGCCACCGTGCAAAATTTATCCCCCTTTTTGAAATTTAGATTTGATTCAACTGATTGAGAATATAGTATTGGAACTTAATTGTGTGTATGTGTGTGTACATGTATGTGTGTACACATTCCTCTGTGTGTGTGTGTGTGCGTGTGTATGTGTAGTTTTAAGTTACTTCTGAACTCCCAGCTCCCCTTTCTATTTTTTGAGAACCCGCACTGTCTTCAGTGGTCAAGGGCCCCTCACAAGTACGTTCCTTGGCATTTTTCCATAGAAGACCAGGCTCTCAGTACCCGCTATGGTTTGGATCAGTGTTCCCCAAAGGCCCATGTACTGAAGCCTGAGTGACCTGCCTGTGACACTATAGGGTGACAGTTAAGCTTTAAGAGGTAACTCTTAAGGGGGAAAAGTGTCTTTAAAGTAAAACTGGGGACCGAAGCCCCTGGCCTCCATCTCTCTGTGTTTCTCAGCCTCCAAGAGATAAACAGAGCTCCTCCACCACACATTCCCTCTGTGAACACACTGTGCTATTGCAGGCCCAAAGTGAGAGGGCCAAGGGACCGTGGACGAAGCCCCTGAAACCTGTAAGCCACAATCAATCTTGAGCTAATTATCTCACGTATGTTGTTATAGCAAAACAAAGCTGACAAACCTTCTTCAGTTTACGTTTTGAGTGAGTCACCTGTCTGGTGAGCATCGCAATGAAAACGCTTGGCCCGGCTCTTAGACTGTGGCCTGAGAGCTGTCAGTGCAACAGGCTTTCTCTCTAAATGCCTTCATCCCTTTGAATTCAGGCCGAACAGCTTCTTACAAATAAGAGTCTAAGAAGGCCTTTCACTAAAGGGACTGGCAGAAGAAAGGAAGAGTGAGTGTCTTCTGGCTTCCTGATGGATTCAGAGAACTGTGCTGGTGTCGAATGAGATTGAGAAATTTAAATTTCCCTTAGATGGCATTGACATAAGGACAAAGGTAGAAAGAATAACATGCAAAGGAAAAAAAGTAAGGTAATATATGTATATCAAATTGTAATAAAGGCCAGCTTAAGATAATGGCAATTTTTAAAACTTCAAATAAAGTGATTATTTTTACAGCTAATGTGCTCTTCATTTAATGCCAAGTCTTCTAAGATTTCAATGGCTGCAAATGCATACAAAGATGCCTGGCATTATTACATATTATGATAACCAAAGCCACAAAATTACTAAGACTTTCCAGAATGACTAAAAACAAACAATACCGAGCACTGCTGAGGCTGTGGAGCAGCTAGACCCCTCACATATGGCTGACAGGAACATAAAATGTCCAGCATTTTTTTAAAAATTAACAGTTTCATGTAAAGTTAAACAGATACTCCCTATAATTGTTACCTAAATTTTCAGCCAACTGAGATTAATATATATGTCTAAAGATCTATATGTGAACATTTATAGCAGCTGGACCATAACCACCACAAACTTGGCACTGTGCAAAAGGTGAATGGAAAAACTACACTGCATTGAAAAGGTACACATCACCGAGAGATGCAGCAAGACAAGTACATCCCATCAATGCGAAGTGGAAGACCGGTTTGATCCCCGGTCCCACATGCTGCACTCAGCCGGGGTGCGCTGAGTCAGCGAGCGAGTCCCAACATGGTAGCCCAAACCTGTATCCCAGCGCTGGGGCGGCTGAAGACAGGAGGATCACTATGAGTCCGAGCTGCATAGTGAGACCCTGTTCCAAATATATAAATGAAAAAGAAAAAGAATGTGTAGACTAGCCTACACATCTACCAAACGACTATTAAAAAAATTGCTATTCATGTGAAGTGGAAACAGCCAGACACCAAGCCATTTAATTTATGTTATCAGTCCAGAAAAGGTAGAACTCTAAGGATAGAATCTGATTTGTGGATTCCAGGGGCTGGATGGTGGTAGAGAGAAAGACAGTACGGCAAGGAGAGATGAAGAAACTTAGAGCAAGGGAGTGATACAAATAGCCTCTATTTTGATCACAGCAGCACTTAGATGATTAAGTATATTTATCGCCAAAATTCATCAAATTGGGCTGGCAAGATAGCTCAGCTGTCTGAAGTGCTTGCTTAGGCAAGCTTAGGCAAGCTCAGGGATAGCGGTTCAATCCCTGGCACCATATGACCCGCAGGCCTGTCCCCAGGGTGGGCTGAGCAACCCCCCCCCAAATAAAACTCATTGAACTATATTTTGGAAAAAGATTTGACCCTATCATACCTGACTTTAAAAAATTATTATTTTAGCACCAATAGCATAGACAACAAAACTAAAAGAAGATAAATTGAACTATATCAAAATTAACAGCATCTACAAATCAAAGGACCAACAGAGGGAAAAGGCAGCCTAAAGAATGGAAGAAAAATATTTGTAAATCCTGTACCTGATAAGTTGTTAATATTCAGAATATAGAAAGTGCTGCACCTCAACAACAACCACAAATGACCCACATAACCTACCACAAGAACTGAAAATTTATTTCCTAGACATCTCTCCAAAGAAGATACATAGATGGCTCACAAGAACAGCAAGAGCCACTCAACACCATTATTGCAGACGCCAAAATCATAATGTGCTATAATTCACATGCATCTGAATGGCTCCTAGGAAATGAGGAAAGATAAAGGAAATAAGTGTTGGTGAGAATGTGGAGGAACGGAAACGCTTATGCACTGCTCGTGGGAATGTAAAACAATGCAGCTGCTATGGAAAACAGCATGGAGGTTCCTCAAAAACATTAAAAATAGAATTAGCGTATGATCCAGTAATTCCAGTGCTGGATGTAAACGCAGATAGAGCAGAGCTTGCTAGAGATCTGTGCACACTCATTTCAGACCGACACTCACAAAAGCCAAAGGTGGGAAGCAACTCAAGCAACCCTAGACAGATGAGGGGTTGAATAAGTACAGTGCTTGCAAGCGATGGACTATCATTCAGTCCTAACAAGAATGGAATTCTGTCATAGGATGCAACACGGATGAATGTTGAAGATGCCATGCTAAGTAAAATAGTCACAAGAAGACAAATACCACATGATTCCACTTACGTAAGGTTCTTAGAGTAGTCAAACTCATAGAGACAGAAAGGAAAATGGTGAGTGCCCGGGGCTGGTGGGGAGAAAGGGATGAGATGCCAGTGAATGCATGAACACACAGAATTTCTGCTTTGCAACACAAAAGAGTTCTGGAGACTGGGGACACAGTGTGATTTACCTAATGCTCCTGAGCTGTTCATTTTAAAAGGTTCATTGGGGGCCAGGGAGATAGCTCAGTAGAATAAGTGCTTGCCTGGCAAGCGCAAGGACCTGAGTTCAGTCCCCAGTTCTGCCAAAAAATAAACAAATAAAATAAAAAGGTTCAAGAGGGTAAATTTTACCACATTGTTCCAGAAAATTCCTCTGTTACAGAACAATAATACAATTCTGGCCCTGGCCCTGCCACTCTCTACCTGGATGACATAGAAAAGGCTCTTTCCCTTCTAAACCTCAGCTTCCTTCAGTGAAACAGGAACAATAATCCTCAGTAGCAATTTTAAGGGCTAACCTGAATCATGTATGGAAACACTTTGCTTCTTCCCATACAAAATGTCAGCTGTTGAAGAAAATGATGGCTGAGGTGACAACAGCGCCACTGAAGTTGGTAAAATTAGTTTGTGCTAGGTAACGGTGCACAGGTATCCCCAGCTCTCACGCCCAGCTCCACCTATTTGAGCAAGAGTTCTTAAGGATACCAGTGTCTGAGAGTATTGGGAGAGAATGTCTTGCACTGGTCTTCACCAGCCTGCTGGGCAATGGCTTTGCTTTCCTTCTCTTAATGCATGATGCTTACATTGACTGGGTAGAGTTGGTACATGTACACAATACATTTCAATTGTTATTCCAGTGTCTGCTCTTGCCCCCAGGCACTTACCTGATGAAGGTGGGGTACAGCTCTGAGTTCACCAGGCAGATCATTTGCAACACAATGGTGGTTCCCAGCCGGCCCCCACAAGCCAACAGGATTTGTAGCCAGCGCAGATCTGCAGAGAGGCACTAGCACAGTGACCACAGGATGAGACCTTGCTCCCCCAGCACAGTGAGAAGCACTGAGGGTGGGGCTTGGCCCACCAGAGCTGGAAGTGCCCAACAGGTTTTCCTCACTAACCCCTTTTGTTTCTAGATAAGAAAACTGAGTACCAATGGATGTGGGGCCCTGGTAAGGTTCCTTGTGCAGAGAAAAGAATAAGGTGGGGTTTTTGTTTGTTTGTTTGTTTGTTTGTTTTTTCTTGGGGGGGATGGGTATTTGAAATGAAAGCCAGGGCGTCTGCACTGAGCATGTGCCCCACCCTTTTAGGTTTTTTTGAGACAGTCTTGCTAAGTCACTAAGTTGCACAAGCTGGGCTCAAGCTTTTTAACCTCTTACCTCAGCCTCTCAGGAAAGAATGAACTTTTTAAATCTCTGTCTGCCTCTAGCGATACATAGAAAAGCTCTCTACTTCTCTGCGCCTTGGTTTGCTAAGTTGTGAAATGGAAATAATCACACCCAGCTTACAAAGTGTTGTGGAACTTAGAAATGACAGGCGCCCAAAGCCCCCTGGGATTGCAGACTTTAAAAGCTGGTATGGGTCCGGCGAGAAAGTTCAGTGGACTGAAAATTCAGTGGACTAAATGCCTACTTAAGAAAGCACAGAGATGGGGGATCCCCAGCACCAATGCTGCGCCAGCCCCACCCCCTCCCCCAGGCAGGCTGAGCCGGACACCAAAACCAGGTATGGTGGCACACACCTGTAATCCCAGCACAGGGGAGGCTATAAATAGGGTCACTATGAGTCACAGCTGTGTAGCAAGACCCTATACCAAATAGATTTTTTTAAAAAGCTGACATTTTAATTATGATATGATCTTGTCATTTCCAGCGCAGTGCCTGAGACCTAAGGGGTATGACAACAAGCACACTCCCTTCTGCAGCAGGCCTTGGACTAATCCTCAATCTGATATTCATTTCCAATAAAACATCAGAGTCTCAGAGAGGGAGGATCAGGAAGTGAGCCCCCCAACAGGCTGCTGCAAAGGTCTTATCTAGTGGGGGGCAGCCCTGTCCTTGTGGGCGTGGGTGGCAGTGGCAGACTGTGAGAAGGGCTGGCACCAGGAGCAGGATGCACACTGCAGAACGGTGCCTGGCTCTGCCAGCTGGAGCCACGCTCAGCCCTTAACACCCTGCTTGGCTCCTTGCCAGCACCCATGCTGTTGCTTTCTGAAATCTGTCATTTGTGACATCTTCCCCAGGAGTCTAGAAACAGGAGATGAAGGACAAAATAGGGAGAAATTACTCCACAACTGCTCTGCCCCTCTTCCTGGCTACTTTGTCCTTGCCTACTAAGCTTTCTCGAATCTGCCCTCAGGTAATTTCTAGCTCTACTCTGGAGAACACTGATATCCAGAATCCCTTACACATACACCTGCCCAAATGCCTCCTTAAGCCTGCAAGTGCAAAGCCCAAGCACAGAAGAAGAGAAAAATAGTAAATCTTCCCAGTGTGGCTGAACATTTCCAAAGGCAGCAAGAGTATGAGGCAATTATGTGCTGAACTAAAAGCTAACAAAAGGGAATCTGCTTTAACTTTACACATAGCTTGGGTTCTCTTGGGTCATAAGAATCACAGACTAGCCTACTCATCCACTAAATGATTACTTAAAAACTTGCCATACTGAATGTTGGTGAGGCTTCAGGAATGTTCATTTGTTATAGGGAAAAGGGGGGGGTATAAAACAGCCCAACGCTTTTGCAAAAACCATCAGGCAGGGTCTACTACTGAAGCTAAACTTTAAATAAATAAATAAATAAATAAATAAATAAAGCCAAACTTATGTACCCTGAGACACAACATGAGACACACACGCGTGGGTAGGCAGGGAAAGCAAGAATGTGAGGCCACCAAAGATACACAGCAGATGATATCTGCAGCTTTGCTCCTGAGAATAAACCCTGGGAATGACACGGGGACAGTGCAGTGGAAAGGCACACAGAGTGATATTCATCCTCTGGAGACTGCACTTTTTTTTTTTTTTTTTTTTTTTGTACCAGGGATTGAACTCAGGACCTTGCACCTGCCAGGCAGGAACTTAAGCCTCTGAACTATCTCCCCACCCCCATAATTTTTTTAAAGGAATAAGCTTCGTTCTCACTTGACAATACATACAAACTTCACAGGTGCAATGATGTGAGGCAAGAAAGAGGGCATTTGGTGCGGTTCCGTTTATGTGCAGTTCAAGAGCAAGCAGAACCAATTTATGGAAATAGAGGTGCTGTGGTTGGAGGTGGGTATCAGTTCCGAAGGGCAAAAGGGGACACTTGCAGTACCGAAGCCACCCTGTCTTCACATCACGCTATCCAAGTAGCTGTGTCAAAACTCACTGAGTCTCACGCGTATAACTTGCTCATTACGTTTGTTAAACCTCAGTTTAAAATTTTAAATAGCTGGACATGGAGAGGCACACCTGTAACCAGAGCACTCTGGGAGCCTAAGGAGGGACCATTAAAAGTTCAAGCCCAACCTGGGCAACTTAACAACTTAGTCAACCCCTCCGTCAAAAGAAAAAATTTCAAAAGAAGGTTGGGAGGGCCAGCAAGATAGCTCAGCAGTCTAATGTCAAGCTTAGGCAAAGCTCTGGAACTGCAGTTTGATCCCAGGCACCACATCCCAGGGCAGGCTGAGATGGCCACAAAAAAAAAAAAAAAAAAAAAAAAGGCTGGGGATGTAGCTCAGTGTGAAGAAGCTGGGTTCCATTTTCAGTGCTGAAAAATGTAAACAAAGATGACACTGCATCTCTGTTCTTGTTCCAGGAGCTTATCTATGAGAACTGAAATGAGTTACAACACTTTTTCCACAATTCGATTTCCTGGGAAATGATGAAAATGGATAACTCACCATGTGGAACAAAAACCATGATCAAACAGGCTGCTCCCGCCACCAGGTAGGACAGAGCCAGCGGGTAGATGCGGCCAACCCGGTCAATGGTGACGAGGGTGATGAAGCCTGCGGGGAATTCAACCAGTGAAGAGTAGAAGAAATCCAGGTAGTGGTTCTCGCTGGTGGCCCCGACATGCATGATGAGGCCCTGGTAGAGTACAGAGCAGGAGAACCTGAGGCAGGAGGAGAACGTGGGTCAGAGGCGGGGACAGACGGGTGGAACCAAATGCGGCAGAGATGCGAAGTCCTAGAGCAGTACAAAAGGGGAGTGGCTAAGAATCAGGAAGAGGGTCCAAGGAGGGACCTGGAGGAGAAACACTTCCACCACAGAGGTGAGAGTATGCATGGAAGACAACCCCAGAGAATCCTGGAGTTGAAAAACAAGGGTTGCTACTGTTCGCTGCATTAAGGAACAGACACAAAGTAGAAGCTCCACTCCGTGCCAACAGGGACCCAGGGAGGTAGGCAGGAGAAGGCAGTCGGTGAGTGAGCAGGACTGAGTACCAGGCTGCTTTCCAAGCCCTGGGTGACCTTCTGGAAGTTAACTGGCCTCTCTAGAGGCCTTACTTCGCTCATCAGCAACTGAGATGATACTAGTACGCACCACTCTGGTTTGTCCGAAGGATTCACTAAATTAATAGACAAAACTGCCTACTATGGTTTCCAGCACACAGCTTGTCTGCAGTTTATCATCACCATCGTTTCTCTGCAGAAGGAGATGTTGGCTGAGTCTCTCTGCCCCACAATGGTGCCCTCTGCTCTATAGTGCTGTCTTCAGCTGGATCCATTCACTTACTTTCTTCTTCACTGCACCACCCTCCATTGGAGGAAAGCATAGCAATGGTATGGAATACAGCGCACATAGCCCAATCACTCTCAGTCAAGTAAAAAAAGAAAACCAAAAATGCTGGGTTGGTGGTGCATGCCTGTGATTCTAGTACTCTGGAAGGCTGAGGCTGGAGGATAGCAAGTTCTAACCCAGCCAGGGCAACTTAGCAAAGCCCTGTCCCTAAGTAAGAAGGGGGAAGGGACAAGGATGTACCTCAGTGTGAAGCCCCTGGGTTTAATCCCCAGTAATGCAAAACAAATTTTAGAGGTTCCTGAACTAAGGTTGTAGCTTCCCTAATACATACAGGTCCTGGGTTCAATTTTCAGCACTACAAAAAGAGAGGGTCTTGCGTATCTGTTTGGGGGACATAATACTTGATTATTTAGGAAGCTACAAATACTTCATACTCTTATTAATGTTTACATTGCATGAGGAGATTTTGGTTAATAAGGAATTGCTGTACACAGCTGTAATACCAGCACTGGGGAAGCTGAGGCAAAGCATAGCCATGAGTTTGAGGCCAGCCTTGACTACACAGTGAGGTCTTGTCTCAAAAAGGGGGGAGGATTATTATCTTTTCCCAGTAAGAGAATTGGCTATTGATCAGTCCCAAAACAGCGATCACAAGGGATGTCCCTGATAACAGACCCCCTGTTTTGTAAAGCCTCAGCCAGGGAATCCTAGCATGCTTTAGTTTTCAGTTCAAAGTCACTACTAGCTGGACAAAAGGAAGACGCTCACTGAATCTCAGTGGGTTTACATAAGCCTGGATAGTGCTGCCCCCTCTGAGCCATTTAGCGAGGTAAGTGGAAAGGTAAAGATAAGATTGACTTAAGAGAAAAGAATGCATAACTCGGATATTACTGGCAGCAAACCAACTAACAAATGTGCAGACTGCCACCTTTCAACTGAAATCATGAGTTGTACACACATACTACAAAAAGAAAAAGAAACAAAAAACACTTGTGATCTTGAGTCTTCCATGTATCTACACTGGACATGTCTCTGAGCTCCTCACACTCCTATCTCCCTTCATGCCTGTGATCTGGATACTGTATCTCTCCCCTGCTGGTAAGGACTCGGAGTATTGGGGAGATCTTTGGGGTTGCAGAAATCAGAAGCAGCAGGTGGGAGGGGAGGGGCCACAGAAGGAGGTGTCCTGGCCAGATCATGTGAAGTCTTGCAGACCACAGAAAGGAGCCAAGCTTGCTCTGAGTGGAGGCGTAGACAAACACAGATGTGGGGCGGGCAGGACAGGGCACAACAAGCCTGGTGCCTAAAGAGCTTGGATGGATTCTGTGAAACAGTGGTTATTATTCACTTTACTGTCATCAGCTATTGATGGAGGGTCTACTCTTATGGGCACTAGCGTCCTAGTTCAACTCTGTTCTAATTAAGCTGATGCGTTGGTGCACACACCTGTCTCTGGGAAGCAAAGCTGAGATCCTTGGGGGAGGCGCAGATCCCCCAAAGTGGGAGCTGCCATATCCATTGGGTGTTGGGAGAGTCATTTCAGAATAGCTTTATTTTCTTCTTCTTCTTCTTTTTTTTTTTTTTTTCTGGGAATTGAACTCATGACCTCGCGCTTGCCAGACAGGAGTTTGTGCCGCTGAACTATCTCCCTGGCAAGAATAACTTTATTTTGATGGCACATCCTACAGGGAGGAGTTAGCCCCCTGTCCTAGATATTCCCCAGGAGGGCACAGACCCTTGGATAGGCAAAGGTATGGAGGAATCCTTACTGCGTAGGCAGCTGCCAGTCAACAGTTCAAGGATGCTCAGATACTGCCAGTGGTTCCATCAGGTTTGGGAATTAAAAAAGGAGATCCTGGGAACAGCAAGTCATGACTCTCTCCAAGCCTGTTCCTATTCACCTTTCACAGGTGACAACCAACCACTAAAAGGAGCCTTTCTCCAGGATTCTATCCTCCGGGGAGAGAGAAGACTTTTTAGTACTCTTGAACACTCAACAACAGTACTTAAATTCCTCTTCACTTTGTGGACTTGGATTTGCACCTGTGTTAGGCAGTACATGGGCCCAGCATGTGCCCATGCTCAGGGAGGGGCGCTTCACCATGGGTAGGTGGGGGCCAAGGTGTGGGAGCACTTAGGAGGGGTACATCAGGAGGAAGGCTCATGGCGCGCAGGGATGGTCCCTCACCACATGTACATCAGGATGAACGTGTGCTTCCGCAGTGTTGGCGAGCGGAACAGATCCACAAACGACGGGCTCAGCTTTTCCGTCCCATCCTCCTCCACAGAGAGCATCTGAGAGGGAGTCAGATCAACACCTCATGCAACTGTGCAGGGTGCTCCATCAGGGAGAAGCCCCAGCTGGCCACCACCAGGCTTCACAGCTAAGGTGAGCAGGGCTCCACCACTCCCAGGGGCAGCCCCTGAGACAATTCCAAACCACATCCCCTGCCCTGAGGCCATGACCTGAGGACCCCATGCTGGCTCTGTTACCTTCAAATCTGTGGGAGGGGGCTTCCCATTCTTCTGGGCGATGTGGTCCATGATCTTCACTGCTTGAGTGATTCTCTTCTGTGACAACAGCCATCGGGGCGACTCAGGAACACACCTGTGGACACAGCTCATCACCAAAGGCATCTTCCCCAGAAGTCATCTGAAATTCAACCCTGACCAGGGCTTGGTTGTGCAGAGCCTGGGATTTACTCCTCAAGCAGATGGTTAACAAGGTTTGGTTCATTGTGACCTGGCCTCGGGGCCCTCACAAGAGCTCTGTGGGTCACTTGTGCTCAGGGACACCTGTTATGCCTTATAGAGAAGAGGAAAATACAGCTTCCTGTGTTGTCTTCTTTCCATGGAGCAAGAGCCCATCTTTCCTGAAATTTGGCAGCCCCTGTTCCCCTGGAAATAATCCACACACAAAGTAGATGCTCCTGGTACCATCCCCCCCCATCTTCACAACATTCCCCAAGCAAAATATAATACATTCCCTTTCCTTTAAAATCAGACACCATGCTGTTTATTTCAAATGAGGCAGGGGGCCGGGGAGATAGCTCAGCAGCGTAAAGCGCCTGCCTAGCAAGCACAAGGTCCTGATTTCCATCCCTGGTACCAAAACAAAAAACAAAACGAAACATAAAAGAATTCAAAGGAGGCAGGGATTTTGCAGCTTAAGACAGGGGTGCTAGCACAAACATCGTCTGGACACTCAGCCTTAGCCTGACATCTTTGCTTCAGGAGACCCCTCTGTTTCACAGGAAGGTGAGTGAGGTTCTTCCTGGTGCTCTAGGCTACAAATATGAACACTCAGAGGCTGGCTTTCCTTTAGAGAACCCAAGTCTACCCAAGCAGATACAGATAATGTTTGCCCCAGTACACTTGCGGCAAAGGGTGCGTGGATGAAATATTTCTGTCTGCTGCTGCCTCTTCCCTCCACAATAAAGTTTATTGGGGAAGTTGTTCATCCCCCTCATACTTTGCAAAGAGCTCAGAGCTCTTCAGATTAACACCCCACGGGGATGGTTCTCTTCCATAATGGCTGTGTGTCCAGAGTCTCCAGGGAATATGAGAAGCCCTTGCATGTATAAATTCATGCCGCTAAGTGCCAAATATGTGACTTATCAAGAGATACATCTGAGTATTATTAGTAATAGCCATATTATCCTAAAAGTAAACTGGGAGGAAAAGGCAGAAGAGACAGAGAGAGAGAAGAGAGAAGAGAGAAGAGAGAAGAGAGAAGAGAGAAGAGAGAAGAGAGGGAGAGACTTAAGTAGGCTGCAGAGTGAGAACATCTATCTGATTTTGTGCTTTTGCCCCTGCGGAGACCTGGGGAGGGTGGGAGGTGGTGGTCAGTGCGGGAAAGCAGCCACCTCTTCCCTGTACTGGACACTTTGCACAGACCATCTCCAAGATTTTCAAGGTCACTGGCAACACCTAGAAAGCTGCTTTGTGTCCAGGCATGAGGCTGACCTAGGGAAGTCGGCCTGTTTCTTTCCCCTTTTTTTTTTTTTTTTTTTTTTTTTTTGGCAGTGGGGCTCAGCCAACCCCCCGCACAGCATGTGGTGCCAGGGATCAAACCGCGGTCCCTGTGCTTGCCTAAGCTTGCCTAAGCAGGCACTTTAGAATGCTGAGCTATTTCGCCAGCCTGAGTCTTTTTCTTAAAAGCACGCATTTCAGGCTTTTGACTGGACAGTCAGCCCCTGTGATCCATGGGGCTTTGCCCAACTTCTAGCAGAACTCGTTCTAGGGCAGATGGCTCATGTGACTCGGAACTGGATGTGTCTGAGGATGTTTCCACACCTGAAGGCCTCTGGGCAACATCAGAATGGCCCAGTGGCAGGCAGGGCTTTGGAAGCAGCACTGGGCCATGTGTGTGTGCACCATGGCCACTTGAGCAGCTTATGTGGGGCCCAGCCCCCCTCCCCCACTGAGCCTGGTCCCATAAGTAGCAGGCAGAGAGCAGGAAGGCAGTATTACCAGTAGTACAGCAGGAACAGAAAGGTGGGCAGGGACACAGCCAGCTGGAGCCAGCGCCAATGTGGAATGGCGTACGCCATCCCAGCGAGCCCCAACAGCCCCACTGTGAAGATCATCTGGTACAGGATCGCCACCGTCCTTCTGTAGCCTGAGCCAACGAACTCTGTGACTGAAACAGAAAGATAGTCACCATGCACCTCCCAGCAGGTGTGAGGTCCAGGAGGGACGTGCGTCCATCTGTCCTCTGTCCCCACCAGTGCCCGCCCCGGCTACCTATGCTCACTTCTACGCATCCTCCACTTCTCCCCAGACTACACCTGCTGCCATCTGGCTCCCCTATTGAAGACATAGAGGCCTCACACCCTGACAGAGGGCAGGCAGGCCATGCACTGGATGCATAGGGGTCATCTAAAACTACAGTGAATGCTTAAATTAGAAATTAAAAACTATACAGCTGGGGAGATAGCTCAGCTGTCTAAGCACCTGCCTGGCAAGTACAAGGACCCAGGCTGGTACTGCATACTGTGCCAGCCCGGGAACCCCAGCAGGCCATGCCGGCCCCAAAACAGGGTATGGTAGCACAAGCCTGTCATCCCAGTGCTGTGGAGGCTGACACAGGAAGATCACTACAAGTCCAAGCTGCATAGAAAGACCCTGTGCCAATTTAAAAAAAAAATTATAGTGTGTCCTCACCTACCTCAGTCTCTCAGTCTGTAACATGTGACTTCTAGCTTTTTTCCAAAACCAGTATGATCATGAAAGATAAATTTTTGTTCGTTCTGTCTTTTTGAGACAGGGTCTCACTATGCAATTTAGACTGGCTTTAAGCCCAGGCTGGCCTCGAACTTGCAATGATCTGCCTGCCTCAGTCTCCTGAGTGCTGAGATTACAGGCATGTACCACCACTCCTGACTTAAAATAATGTTTTGAACAATTCAGGACATCAAGGGAGCCAGGACAGGACAACTAAAGAAACTCATGAAATAAGACTTCCAGAACCACTTCAGAAAGTGGTAAGAGGGCCAGGAAGATAGCTCAGTAGAATAAGCACCTGCCTGGCAAGCGCAGGGTCTTGAGTTCAATCCCTGGTACCGCAAAAAAAAGAATGGTGGGATCAGTGTGTTCAAAGTGAGGGGGAGTATTTCGAGGAGGATTAATGGTAATGCATTTTTTACTGTAATAAGGCTTTAAATCTAAACAGCCACCATAGTTACCGAGCACACCCTATAAATCATATGCTAAGTTAGAATGTACTCCAAGCTGTGGGGAACCGAAGCTCAGATCAGGTAGGGAAATCAAGGGCACTGTGGGAAGAGGGGCTGCAATTCTACAAGGGACTGGTGGGGCCAGGGAACAGCACAGAGAAAAGACTGGGGAGTCAGGGAGTCAGCCTTCCAGAAGACAGGAGCGCTGTGTTCCAGCTGTGTTCCATGAGGGAGCCCACGTGGCTGGAGAGGTGGAATGCGAGGGCGGCAGAGTGAGGCTGAGCTCAGAGGGGCCACAAGGACATGATCCTGTAGGGAACCGAGGGCATTATTTCTCTCTCTCTCTCTCTCTCTCTCTCTCTCTCTCTCTCTCTCTCTCTCTGTGTGTGTGTTGGTTTGGCTGGTTTGGTTTGGTTTAGTTTAGTTTGGTTTGGTTTGGTTTGGTTTGGTTTGTGGTATCAAGGATTGAACTTGGGACCTTGTGCTTGCCAGGCAGGCACTTATGCCCTTGCTATCTCTCCAGCCCCTCGAGGGCATTACAAAAACTATTTTCTCACATTTGAAACCCAGCCACTGTGGGCAGAGGACAGCCACATGCCACTTTCTGTTTGCAAAGGCTGACTTCAGAAGGCCCATTTGAGGTGAAACAGTGGTAGGGGCTTGGACCAGCAGAGGTCATGGAAAGGGTGGGATTCTGTTTGGAAAACAAAGAGAAGAGCAGAAAGTAGATGGCCTGATGGAATAATGGACTGATGACTGAGGGAGTGGAGATGGGGGGGAGGTAAAGGAACGAGGTGGAGGTGATGTTGATTCTAAGATGTTTAGCCTGAGGGACTGACAGAGGGCTCCATCCTCCTCTGGGGCCTGTGGATGAGGCAGGATTTCTCATTTCTCAAGGCAGGACCATGATTTCCTTCCACCCTTGTAAACTATTCACAGAGAGCCAAGCGATAGGTCACTGTTTTCAGAAATGAGCAGTGAGGATGATTCTTTTGGTAGCTCAGTCAAAAAAGCCACAACATCGCTGCTCCTCCCTGCTCTGATGTGCCCCGTTTGTGGACTGGGGAGAGCAAGCATAACTCTTTCGCCACTTTTCTCCAGGGAGGGGGTTTTTAGGCATTGGATTCTTTTCTTCTACAGAGTATATGAAAAAAGAAAAAGAAAAAGACTAACACACAGGCTATCCGCTTTGGTTTACATGTCAAATTTTTTGAAAATCCCGATGTCTACTTCTCTTATTTCTACATTTGTTCTCCTCACTGTGGAATGTCATTCAAATTGGCTGAGATCTTTTTTTTTTTTTTTTTTTTCAGTTTCTCTGAAGAAGATTCTGATTCTTTCCTACTTAGAAAGTTAAAACCCTCTCCTAGTGTCACAACCTCCAGACTCTCAAAAAGGAGAGCACACCTGTCCACATGGACCCTGCCACACACAAACACTTAGCATCACTTTCCTTTTCTTTCTTTTCTCTTTCTTCTCTCTTTTCTTTCCCTCCTTCCTTCCTTCTTTCTTTCTTTCTTTCTTCTCTGGCATGAGGATTAAGCCCAGGACTTTTGGGCTAAGCTACATCCCCAGGTTTGTTTTGTTTTTATTTTGAGACGGAAAGGTTCACTGAGTTACTAAATTGCCCATGCTGGGCTCAAACTCAGGATCCTCCTGCCTCAGCCTCCCAGGGTTGCAGAATTCCAAGTGTGCACCACTCCACCTGACTAAGTAGCCCCATTCCTGTAGACACTGAAAACCCTTCTGCCCCCCAAAGCCCCACCTCCAAGTCCAGCTTGCCCCCTCTGGCTGCACCACCTGCCCCCTGTCCTGCTTTCATCCAGGGAAACTCAGCCCATGCATAATTACTCAGGGTGTAGCCAGACATCCACGTGCCCTTGCTGACCATTCCCTGGACCAGGCGGAAGACAAGCATGGATGTGTAGTTTGGAGCCACAGCTGTCAGCACGCCTGACACTGCAGTGACCAGGGAGGTCCCCAGGAGACACAGCTTTCGGCCAAACCTGCAGAGAGGAGGCAAGAGCAAGGAGCAAGGGTCAGACACTCACATCCCTGCCGGCCCCCTACACCACTGTCCTGTGGGTGCCAGGCTACATGCCACATCTCCAGATGGAAGCCCCCCGCTTCCTCCAGGGTCCTTCCTCACAACAACGGGGGTACAAGCTGCTCCCACCCCACCTGTCCCTTGCAAAAGGACCCTGCTCCCCAGTCTCTGTGCCCCACCCAACTGTCTGATCTCTCTCTTCCAGCTGTCTCTACACTGCAGCCCACAGCACTCCCAACCGTGGCTCCCGCATCTCACCTCACAGGTTCTCCATCCCAGCCCCAGAGCCAGTGGCCCTCAAGTATGGGAGGTGTATCTCACACAGTGGGTCTGACCTTCACGTACCTGTCTGCGACATAGCCAATGACCAGGGAGCCGAGGAAGAAGCCCAAGTTCACGCAGGACTGAAAGAGGTCCACCTTCCAGGCGTCCGCACACACCAAGTTAAACTGCCAGCCACGCCATGTCAGGAGGGGCAGGAACAGACTTCGCATTAGCAGGGAACCCCACTGAATTTAAGTTTGCTGATGATTCTCAGGAAGTACGAACTTATTGTTAACACTTTTGTGTCACCAGTCTTTACATATTAATTAAAGCAGCTGTCAAGGGCCAACCAGATAGCTCAGCGGACTAAAGCACCTGTTTAGGCAGACGCAAGGGCCAGGGGTTCGATCCCTAGCCTGCCATTCCAGCCCTGCCCCTGGGGCACACTGAGATGGTGAATGAGACTGGGCGAGATGGCACCTGCGTATAATCCCGGCTCTTGGGAGACTGAAAGCAGGAGGATCACTATGAGTCCAATTTACGTAGTAAGACCCTGTAGACACTATACCAAATTTAAATAAATAAATAACTAAACCAGCTGTCATCAAGTGTTTGTTGTTGACACCTGGTTATCAAAGGAAGAAATGTCTTTGGTGAAGGGAGGAAGAACATAGACAAACCTCAAAGAAGAGACATGGCTGCCAGACAAGTTATCTGAAAGCAAAAAAGCCAAGTACTTTCCCAACAGTAAACACAGACAAAGAATTGTAACATGTTCTCCAGGGTTGATCAAACATCCTTCGTTAATCACACATTAGTTATTATGTGTTTAATTAAATAAATTTCACCAAGAATTGGAAAATTCCAGAAATGTGAGTGTCAAGGGCAGAGGCAAATGTGGGGCAGGGGGCATCTTGGGGGTCCTGGCCCTTAACAGCATGGCATGGGGGCCTGCAAGATAGGAGGAGACTTATGGGTCCCTAGTGCCAAGAGCCAGGAGAGAGGAGAGGCCCCAGGGAGGAGACAGGGAAGAAGACAGGGAGTGGACTAGGACAGCAGGGCCTGTTCAGTTGGGGTTGGGAAAAGCAGAAGCCTGGAGGAAGGCAAGCAGGTTACTTGGGCTTCTCTGGCCAAAAGCACCCAGGCATGCTGCAAGGCCTGTGCCTAGTGTGGTCGGTCCTTCAGAACTGAACAAGACAGACAGAAGACTCCAAGGAAACAGAAGGCCAGGTGGGAGAGCTGGTGTCTCCCATCCCGGCCCCGTTTTTGGCACAGCCCACCCAAGCTTCCTTTCCTTCTTGTCTCTCTACACTGCGCTCTTTATTTGGATTCATGGTTCCACCTAACCCAAAGGACACAGCCAGCAACTCTAGGCTTTAGATTCCCAGGCTGGCACATGCATACTGTGCCTGTCCTGTCGCATTCCAGGGCTGCTGTGAGCACTAAAGGTGAGAAATCACAGGAACACAGTTTTGCTAACTAATGAACCATTTGATTTTAAAAAACTAAGGTTTATGGACCTACCCCCTGATCCCTAAGGTTGCCTGTTTGAGCCTTGCCCCTGTCCTGGTGCTGAGGTTCAAATCCCCGCAGCCTCTGGGACTCTGACCACAGCCAGCTTGGGGCTGCTGACCTCTGATGAGTTTGTCTTGTTTTTCCAAAACACTGGGGAGCGACCATGTTGCCCCTGACTTTCAGGAACGAATAGGATTCTCTCCATCGACTGTCAACTGTCGTGAGCCCAGACCCCAGAGCGTTCCCCTGGGGCAGGGGTGGTCAGCTACTGCTCAGATCACTCTGATTCTCTTCACTGATCCCAAAGCTCATTGCCTATGAAGTTCAGCTCGGGACACACTGTCCTGATGCCTGTTGCCCAAGCCACCGCTGCACAGCCTGTGTAGCCTGTAGACCCCTGGTTTTCCCGTCTGTGCTGTGCTGTGTTATTGGGACATGTGGAGACAGACCATTCAGGGTGTTCTTTGGCTGTCTCAAGATCCGTGTCTCCAACTGTCTCTGTGTAGTGTCCTCACCCTGCCCAAGACAGTGCCCTGTACATCACCAAAGTCCCTGGGCCTCAGCTTGTCTCCTTCTTCACTGTGGCTCTTTCAGTTTTTCATTCCAGCCTTTCAAGTCAGAGCCACCATGTATTGTTCTGTCCCTTCCTGTGAGGCCCAGGTTGCCACCATGTCTAGAAACAGTGTGTGGAGGCAGACAGCTTCCTGAACCCGAGGCCATGCAGCTCTCTTCCACCCCACTTCCCAATATCACCACCCACCGAGGACGGACTGTGCCCCTGCGTGGCTTGCAACCTGGCTATGCCTTCTTGATCCCAAATTCAGCCCAATCACTGCCCCCGGGGCAGAGATGTGTACCCTAGGAAAACAGGGTTGGTCCCGCAAGAAGCCGGGATGCACAAGGCAGTGGGGGAGGGGCTCCCTGGGCTCACTGACTACTTCTGCCAGGATTTCACCTGGGCTGAGGCAACCCTCTCCAGTCTGGTATGTAAAGCAACAGGACCAACGGCCGCCAACTCACCTCATCCCAAGGATCACCCAAAGTTCTTGTCAAGTACCTGTTCTCACTGGGTTCTGCTGTGGTAGGTCATAAATGGGAATGCAGGTGACCCCCATGGAAAACATAGCCATGACCACCTTCTCACCTCTGCCTGAGACCTCCCTGCTCAGCACTTGGCAGTGTGTGGAAACCAGTGGCTGCCAGCCTGGTACAGGGCTTCGGCTGAGGCCATGGTACTGGGAGCAGTGTCTCTATGTGGAGGAGTTACAACCCATCACACATCACTTTTCCTCCACAGGGGCTGCATGATCCTAGTAGCTAAGCTTGGGGGTAGGGGTTGTTAAACTTGGTGTTGAAACCAGGGCCTTCCTAAAGCAAGTTCCAATGTCCAAGGCAATGCAAAGTTAAAAATTAGTCCTGCAGAAATAAATAACTACCGTTCATTCTCCGATAGTAATCATCAGTTTAGGGTACGGCATAGGGCAAAGGCAGATTAAAAGCAGTTGGGAGGGAGAATTATAGTACGAGATAACATCCATCCAGGAGCCAACTTCTACTGCCCTCCCAACCTGCCTCGCCCCATGCTTCTGTTTACCTCAGTATTTCCAAATTCAGTCCACAGTCTCCCAAACCCAACCCCACCATTCTTCTCTAACCAGCTGCCCCTCGCTGGGCCTGCCAAGAACTCCTAAAACCTCCAGGACTCCTAAAACCTTTAACGAAGTACTAGTTCTTAGGGTCATTTGTTCATAAGCAATCGCTTCTAAAGCACTTCTCTTACACTTATTCCTTCCTTCTCTTTCCTGCTGCCACAAGAGGCCTGCTCATTAGCTCAGCTGTTTAAGTGCCTGCGTAAGCAAAAGCAGTCAGGCTCAGGATATTGTGGTTCGATCCCCAGATCCTCATGCCTTTCCAGACTTACCTTTAAGGCCCCTGAGGCAGCCAAAAAAAAAAAAAAAAAAAAAATCCTCCTGCTGCCCCAGGCCACCACCCCTTTTCCAAGCTGATGCTACTCCTGGTCCCCCCCCCCCCCCCCATACCCCCAACCCCCACCACTAGCTCTCTTTGCCTGTGCTTCCCCAAGTGAGAGCTCTCAGCCAAACTGGGCCCTTCTTGTCCAGAACACATGCAGTATCCGCACCTCTTCATCATGATGCCTTTGTTCCCATGACAACCATGTTGATGGACATTTCTCACCGGGCCTCTCTCCTTGGCTGCCTCATGCACCCTTTTAACCTCCCGGGAAGCCACTACCCCCACCACCATCCTGCTTCTGGACCATTCACCAGGTCCATTTAGCGTTGCCTCGCTCCTCTACCTGGATAAGACCACACTTTGGTACGGCACTAAGGTAGGGTTGCCACATTTAGTAAATAAAAATATCAAGTGCCCACGTGGATTTAAAAATCTAAAGTGCCCAGGTAAACAATCTTCAAAATATATTCCCATGCAATCTTTATATTCATAAGGCCAGGCCCAATTATCAGCACATAATATCATATAATATCTGGGATGTAATTATCCTTTTAAAATTATATTTTCTGAAATTCAAATTTAACTAGGGACCCTATTCTTTACCTGGTGACCCTCAGGATTCCATATTTTGACCCCAAGGTGAGAGACCACCATTCTCCTCCTCCCCTGTGACTCTTCTACAGGAGTCCCCAGATATGAATCATTTTAACAACTCCTGACAATAGCAAAACTCACTCTCCCTGAGCCTGGGCCTGGGCCTGGGCTTACTCCCCTCTCCATCTGTTCCTGTCCTTGCTGTGTTCAGTCCAAATGCAGGAAGACACCTATGACTGGCTCATCTGAAACCTGCCCCTCCGTGCTATGCTTGCAGCAAAACCATGTGGTTTTGGTCTGCCACTGACTGAATTCTGGTCTCTCTCTCACCACCCATCCCTCCCCTCTCACTGTGAGACAGAAGACTCTTGGAGGGGACTTTGCAGTATTTTGCTCCGTTCTCTTACAGTATCACCCCCAGTGCTAGGGCAGAGGGGGAGCCAGGACATCCTTAACAAATACACAGATGGTGACTGGATGAATGAATGGTTGTCCCCGATCATTTCACATAGGATCTCTCATTCCCAGAGAACAAGTACGCCCCAAGCTTGGCCTGCTTCTAGAGCCCCACAGAGCCAGGCACTCCTGGAAGGTCTGTCTGCTATTATTCACTGTTGGAGAATTCCAGGGAAACCAGATGTCCATTCACAACATGCAAAGCCTGGTGTCCCAGCACCTTCTCTGCCCAGGGAACAGGCAGATTTGTTGCTGCTCAGGCTGAGGGGAGGGACACTGGGCTCCTCCAGTGACAGCCTTACCTATGTTGATCCTGAAACCACTAAGGGAAGGGGAGAACGGAAGGAGGAGGTCTGAGCCCAGCACCTGCCAAGTAGGAGTCTTCCTCATTTCCTGAAGCAAAAGGCTTGCTCTCTGTCCACCTATTCTTCAAACACCCACAATCACCCAAAATGCAAAGCCTAGTCTTACCTCAGTGACGATGGAGGAGCCAGGCATGTCATACACCCAGCCGTGCTGACAGGGGCCCAGAGGCAGGAGGCTCCTGTTGCCAGGCAGGCTGGACAGAGGGTCCACGCAGCTAAGGGTGCTCTGGTTCCAGTCCACCTCATACTGCATGCACTGGCTGAGGAAGGCCTCGTCCGCAGTTCCCAAGCCCGGCACTGTGTAGTTGAGCTCCGCAGCCTGACTCCAGCCGCATCGCTGGCTCAGCTCAGCCACCCCGGGGTTCCTGCATCGGTGATTGGGGGTGAAGCCCAGGAAGATGACGCCCACATAGATGGGTGCTAAAGCAGCTGAGATTAGGCACAGGGTCAGAAAAGCTTGCTTCTGAAACCAGCCAAACCCCCCAATCTGCTCCAGAACGTCATCCACGGTGGGCATGTTCGGGCAGCACCCCCACCAGCCTGGCCAGATGTGTTCTGGGCCACAAGGGCGACACTCAAGGTCTCATTTGAAGCTCTTGGGAATGGGATGGTTTGAAATCGGGTTGCTGTCCAAGCATGATATACCAGGAAAGCAATCAACCAGAAATAACCTTTTACCCCGTGGTGCCACACGAGGGCAGGTGTAGAAAGCAAGAGGCGGGCTGGGTGCTTTGTTTGCTTTCCTGGGAAGCTGAGGCCTGAGAGCAATGAGTTCCCTTGCAAAGGGAGAAGAGAACCTGTAACCCTCTACCATCTCACAGAGCCCTTCAGAGCACAGGATCTGATAAAGGGCTTTTTATAGTGCAGATGAATCAAAAGTAGCAAACTACTTGCACAGCATGATGGAGAAATAAGATACTTCAGCAAAGAGTTTTTATGACTCAGATAAATCAAAGGTAGCAAATTGACTATTTGCACAATAAAGAGGTTTTTATAACCCAGATCAATCAAAGGTAGCAAACCAATTATTCTCACAGCAGCTTATTGTTCCCTACTAGAGTAGGTCTACGCCCCTGTGCAACTGGGCTTTGAGCGGGCACAGTTTGTTGCCTCTCTGGACCTTGGTCCAGTCAGTTGAGAGGGATTTAGGACAAAAAGTCTTGGAAAAGGGGGAAACAAAGGAACACAGGCCACCAGGAGAAGATCCCAACAGGAATACCAGCCTGTGTTTTGGGGCATGGACCCAAGATAAGACGCCGGTCATCTAAACCATTCTCTCCATGGCCTTTGAGATGGACACTTCCATTCCACACGTGGAGGAAGAGATGCTGGGGAGGTAAAGTCTGTCACCATCCAGTGCTGCAGAACTTGAACCTATCCCACTGCAGCGCAAGGGCCCGCGGCTGCCCTGAGATCCTCACCAGCTCAGTGTTGGTTCTTTGTCTACCACAAATACCGGAGTCCCTACACATGGCAGGCACTATGCTAGGCTCTGGACTGCAGAAATGGGAAGGTTCCCTCCTCCAATCAGTTTATAGACCAGCAGAAGAGGTAGACTTGCAAAGGAACAGTCACTGTGGTGGTCACAGCAGCCAGCACTAACACTGGCCACTCAGCAGCCCAACGTACAAGATGAGCAAGACAGAGCAGAGGCGAGACAGGAAAGCAGGGCACAGCAGGTAGTTAACAGTCCCCAACACCACACCTCCCAGTGTTCACACCTTTGACTGTGAGAACTTGTAACTTTCCTGAAACCAATGAAAACAGCAAGTGCCACGTGGATAGACCCATGATTGTGCCACATAAGATTGTGTTGCCCACCTCTGGAAGCCTCTCTCTCCCTTTCAGGCTTGACAAAGGGACTCACCCTCTTGGGAGGTCTCCATGGCAAAGAGCTGAGGGTGCCCCAGCAAGAAGTTGATACCCTCAGTTCTTCCACTGCCAGGACTGGATCTGCTGCCCACAACCAGTGGGCTCAGGAGAGCTTTTTCTCCAGACAGGTCTTACAGTGAGGCTGTAGCCACCCTCCAAACTCAACCCTCAGGCACTGACAGATGGGAGTATGTTGCTTTACACTCACTGACATGTTTGTGGCAAGGTGACTATGCAGTGACAGGATGACCCTGAGCTCCTGCCTCAGAATGTTTGTGCAGCCCGAGGGGTGAGTTCGGCTCTGTCCTGTGGTCTGTGCTGTGTGCTCAGGCTCCACTGTGCCTGCGGGCATCCTTGGCCAGGGCCTGTGAGGGAGGACAGCTAGAGGCCAGTTGTGCAAGCCCTCCTTCCACCCTTCAGTCTTCTGGGCACACAGCACAGCCTGCACTTGGCAGGACCCCAGCTCCAGGGCAACCCTGAGCAGTGAGTACTCACCATAGGACAGAGGTGGGAGCCAGGCAGTCGAGTCCTCTGGCGTCCATCCCAGAAATGTTCCCTGCTGGCTAACATGGAGCTCACTGTGTCACAAGGCTCTCCCTGACTCTGCAGAAAGAAGTTCAGCACCGTCCAGCAGAACCAGGCCTCCTCAGATCCACCTGGGACTTCAGTAGGGGCCACCACCTCCCCTGGGCAGGCCCCAAGTATGAAGCAGCCTGGGCTCCAGGAAACGGCAGGAGCAGCTCTGCACAGGTGTGAGATTTCAATGGGCATTGGCCTGGCCTCACCATGCGAGGCATCCAAGTGCAACGGCAGAGAACACTTTGCCCCGCCTGCATTTTGGCTCCAGGAAGGCCAACAGCACAGGGTGGGCCCCTCTACATGAACACAGGAACAACCAACAGACACACAGTCTCAGCCTACCCATGTCTGAGATTTTTGTCCCTTTGTAGGGTGGGTACTCAGAGCTGTCACCTCCAGCCCAGCAGCATATTGGCTACCTTGATGACAAGGATGAACCACATTGGGGTGGTGGGGACTGCAGCTCTGAAATCCCCCTTCCCAGAAGTTTTCTTCTTCAAAAGTGCCTGCCTTTCTGGGAGGCTGAACTCACCCTGGCGGAAGTTCAACACAAGGTCATGGAGTACACTCAGAGATGGTAGTTTGTTGTTTCCTGCCAACTCCCTAAATACCCACTCCTCTGAACCTGGGTGCCCTGCAGGTGCTGGGGAAGCAGCCGGTGTACAAAGGTTCAGCTTTTGATCCACACTGGGGAGAAAGCAGGGCCCCTCCTGGCCTCATCTGCCCAGTGGCCAACCACATACGATAGCCCAGCTCACATATTCCCTGCATAAAAACAGCTGCCCTAGTTGGGCAGGAGTAACCCTTCCCAAAGAGCTGTGGAGAGCAGGCCCTCTTTCTTTGGTTGGACCAGGGAACAAAAGGGCAAATTGTCCTAGAGCACCTGGCCTTTAGTCTCTTCCCTCTTCCATATGTGTCCCCTTGTCCTTCATGATTTCTGTCATGAGCACAAGACCTTCCCAGTTTCCCAAGTCATAAGCTAAAATAACCTCATTTCTTTATAAATTTCCCAGTCCCAGGTACTTTGTTATAATAAAACAACCCAAAGATAGCAGGTCGCCTGCCCCATGTCATGTGACCAGCTCAGATCACATCTCTATAAGTCAATTCACACAAATACTGATCATCAGAGACCCATTTTCCAAAAGTCTTTGTACATTTTCCTAACTCGGGCAATGTCTACTTAGACACAAACTCCAGGTGGGTATTTTCTTTGGTCTGGGACAGCTTATCCCAGGCCTTAGTACCTCCTGGGGCCAGGAAGCAGGTGGGGACAGAACCAACTGTAGCAGCAAGAACCAGGCTTACCTGAAAGGGATGAGAGAGCTTGGTTCAAGGGCAAGTCCAGGGTTGCACGTGGGGTGCCAGTCCCCAGGGTGCTCCAGTCACCTGCAGAATCCAGGTGACTGCCCCAGAGAAGTGGCCTCAGAGGTTGATGAGTCTGCCCAAGGACTGAGATGCGAATATGGATATTCTGGAAATAAGAGCCACTCCCTGGGGCCTGTGCCCACTGACTTCCCATGGTGCTGGGACAGGGCTCAGACCCCTGCAGGTGCCCCAGGCTTGGGTCTTCTCACTGGGCCTGCCATTGGCTGCATGCCCTGTGCCTGTCAGAAGGGGACCACTGTGGTGGGGGCAGACCCTAGCCTCCAGCACTTTCTTCCAAGATAACACCATGGCACAGGCTCTGAGGGAGAGTCCTGGGCTCCCTCTGGGGAAGAGTGTTGTGCATCCTGGAGGCTCTCAGCCGGGATCCCCACGTACCCCACTCCTCAGAGCACAGACACCCCACCTGGGGCTCTGGCTGGTACACAAACGCAGAAGGTCAATGCCCCCACCCCCGCCCGGCAGGCCTTCCCTACCAGGCACAGTCACCAGTGTAGCCTGCTGACGACCTCTACTTGTTTGCTGTCCTGGTGCTGGAGAGGCCAGATCCAGGGCCTGAGTCAGCCTCGCTGGCCCAGCACACAAGGGAACCAGAAGCCACGTGAGTATCCTGCTTCCCTCTAGCCATTTCAACAGAGTTCACTGGGGGGGGGGGGTCCTTGGAAACACGGTCAGGCCAGTGCCCAGAGAGGGCAGCCAAGTTCCAGTTGGAGGCAGGGCCATTCCTACACGTTGTTTCCAGGCTTGGTTCTGTCCAGTTCAGGCCTTACCTTGCTGGCACCTAGCCAGCCCCACTCAAAGACTTGATGTCCATGTGGCAGCCTTGCCACAGGCCCACAGCTTGGGTTTCAGCTGCCCTTTCCTCCTGCCCGCTCTGCCCCCCACAGGCACCTACAGGACCACCTATTCTCTCATTCCACTGATGTTCAGCATCTGCCGTGTGTCTGTCTAAGAGTGCAACAGGACCGAGACACCACCGTTGTGGTTTCTGAAACAGAAAGAGAGCCACCCATCGGAGCAGACAGACCAGATAAAGAACGAAGCCCCTGCTCAGAATGCTCCCCGGATAAGAGATGTAGGAGGATGCTTCACCTCACAGCTAGAGAGAAGGTCCGGGCCTGTGGAAGGTAAGAGGGTGAGCTTCACAGGTCTTTGCCGGAAGTGTGCTCCCTTGAGAGGGAATGGCAGGGGCAAAGGCCCTGAGCACAGCCAGCAAACAAACCAGGGTGTGGAGTCAGCCAGGTGAGCAGTGGGCAGACAGACCAAAGGGTTGGCAGGCAGGCCAGCCTGGCTCTGTGGGCTGTGCTGGGAGAGGGCTTTACCAAGGAGAGCTTCCCTGTCCTGGGCTGCCTTCAGCTCATGTGTTGAAGTCCTAACCCCAGGACCGCACAGTGTGACTTTGTTTGGGGACAGGGACTTTTAAAAAAAAGAAAAGAGTTACATTACTGAGTTAGTGTCCCAAATTTTTCTGATCAAGGAGATTATGGAGCCAAAGAGGAAAGTGATCAATGATGTAGAGTGTGCCTAAGGAGAGTCACATGGAGAGAAAACATTCTCTCAGGCTTTCACAGAGAGCTCATTGGCCAAGCAATGGCCGTGACTCATCCACATGGCTGACACTGACAAAGGTTCTACAATCTGAGGTACAGCATCTCAGGATAAATCCTGAGGGAATTTCACTGACCTTATCAGACCCAAAAGCTACAACTCTTGTTGCATAGGTCTTGCTTTATCTTAGTCTTAACCATCCAGCAGAAAAGTATAAAAACAAAGTATAAGAAGTAAAACCATGGTGTTATGTTAAG